TTAAGTATTGTAGTCACAATCCATACTCCAGGGTGGTCATTTAAGATGTAAAGTTTTCTAATCAAGAAACAATACCTTCAAAAATGGTCTAGCACTTAAATTATCCTTATTGAAAACAACAATAGCAAATTTTTTAATTAGCATAAAGAATATTACACAAATTTTTAATTGATTAGAAACATTTTGTAGGCCCTACCACCCTCTCATGAATAAATTATATAAATCTAACAAACCTAGAAACCTAATGCCATGCTGCAGGATTCCAAGCACTGTGGATGTGCTGATGTTACAGCAGTGACAAAGATAGACTCAGCCCTGCCTTCATGGTTTCATAGAGTCTAGCAGGGCCAGCGAACATGCACATTATCATGCAATAAGTGCTCTCAAGGAAAAGGTACATGATATCATGAGATCATAGATAAGGGGCACCTAAACACAAGTGGGACAGGGAAGGAGAATTGGCAGGAAAATTTTCCTGAAAGAAGTAACATTTAAGCTGAGACCCAAAGGATGAGTCAGAATCATCTAGTTAATTAGAGTATATAGGAATATATGTCTGTGCTTGGAAGACAGGAGGCGCTTCTATTAGTGCTTTGCACATATTATATGCTCAGTAAATATGTACCAGGTGAATATGTGAAGACTCATATCTGAAAAAGTGTATAAAGAACTAAAAGTTTAATGTTAGCAGACAGTGCTAGGGTAGATGTGGTGACATAAGTATGACATGTGGTGACATGGAAGAACCAGAACATATACCCCAAGTGCCTAGAAGAGTATCTGGCAGCACTCAGCAACATTTACAACTTTAGCAACATTTGCTAAAAGAATGAAAAGGCAGAGACTTATAGATCTTGTTAAGGAGCCTAAACCTTATCCTAAGAGCGATAGAAAGTCACTAAAATATTTCATCAGGGTAATGATACAAAGTCTGCATTTTAGAAAGATGGTTCTGAAAGCAGAGAGGAGAACTGTTACAGGCAAGATTATGGCAGAGAGGTTTTTTTGGAGGTTGCTGAAAAGATCAAAGAGAGAGATAGTGGAGACTGAATAAGGCGTAGCAGTGAGAAAGCAGAAAAGAAGACAGGTTTGATAGTCTTTGAGAAGAAAGAATCATCATGACTTGGAGTTTGATTGGATGGGAGGTAGAGGAGAGAGAGGAGCCAATGGTAACACCCAAATTTTATGATTTAGGCAAGTAAATAGATGGTCTTCACATTCAGAGATAGGGAACATAAGAGGACAAACATGTTTTGGCAGAGGACGGTAATTAATACTCTTGGGAGTACGTTGACTCTGAGTTGTCTGCATAGCATCTCAGTGAAAAGCTAAACTACTCAGAAGATATACAGATTTGAAGTTCAGTAGAGATTTGGACTCAAAGATTTTGGAATCATCTTCATGAATATGAGTATTGAAACCATGAGACTAGAAAGAGAAGAGAGATAAGTACAGAATTTGAGGAATAGGCAGAGGAGAAGAAAATAAAAGGAGAGGCCAGAGAGAAAGAAGGAAAAACAGGAGAATGCAGAACCGTGGAGACCAAGAAAAGGAGTCTATCACATAGGATGATGTGGGCACGTGTTAGATCTGGCAATACAAAGACCAAACAGTGTTCATTTAATCTATCAAGCAGGAGTCATCACTTGGTAATGTGGTCGTGGTGGATTTTAGAGCGGAGTGAGCTGAGGAGTAAGTGGGAGGTGAGGAGGAGGAGGCAGTGAAAACTGACAATCCTTTCAAGAATTTTGACTGTGAAGATAAGAGGAAACATCAAGTCTCTTTCAGTTTCCAGGTTTTCTCATTAACTGCTTGAAAAAATTCCTGCAATATATATTTAAGGAAATATATACACTTAAATGTATATATGCTTAATAATAAGGCTCAAGAGATCATATTGTCTTCATCTGCTTAAGGTACAAAATAAAGTCATTTTTGTAAATATTCATATTGATACCAGTCTGAAACTCCAATCAATAAAGCATAAGATGCCCCTTCTTCTTCTGGGTTTTCTTTTTCAGATACCACCCCTACACACACACCCATGGTCACTTATCCGTCCAAACAGGTCAGTCATAGTTCCTACTGTCACAAAGTCTGGTCAGTCCACAGAGTTGGTATTGTTGCTGCATTTGTCGCCACAGGGCATAGATTCTGAAAATAGGTAGCCCATCTGTTTGGTGCCATACTCTGTCAGCTTCAATAGTTGGTCCTAGAACCTGGGGTCAAGGAAACTCCATTGTCCCTACTTTTGCTCTCTGTGAGAAGAGTTCCCAAAGACAGCATTTTCATCTTAATATCACATGAAGATTACCAGAGTTAAAGCTCAGGTTCCCTCTTTTTTTCAACTTTTTTATAGTGGTAAAATACACATAACGTAAAATTTACCATCTTAGCCATTTTTAAGTATATAGTTCAGTGGTATAAAATACATTCATAATGTTGTGCAACCATCATCTCCATAGCTCTTTTTATCTTGTAAAACTGAAACTCTATATCCATTAAACTCAATTTTCCTCTTTAAGAAAGACTCCATCCCTTATTTTTAGGGCTTGGTCTGGAGAAAAAGATGTCTCATTCGACTCACTAAGCAGAGAATCTTATATCTCAGTCTGTAACATCTGATTGAGAATCACGGTGATCTCATCTTTTTTCCAAGAACAATGTATGGGTACTTTCCTTACAACTGTGTGACTAGAAAGCCCTTCCTGATGATTTTCCCCAGGCAATGTGGGTAGACTCTCAATGCTATTGACTTCATCTCCAGCAACACCTCGGTGGCGTTTTTAATCGCGATTGCAGACTGCTGACTTTGTAGAAAGGTTTCTGATATGGTCAAATTTAAAGAAATCACTGGACTCCAAAAGCCTTGAATAAGAACTTGGATCTTTCTTTAGATTTTCTTAGTAGAGGTAGAAGTTTCCCACAGTGCATCAGTCACAATGCTTCCCCCAAATCCTCGATAGACATCCCTTTGTACTGTGACATTTTCTTCTCCTTTGATGGTATTTGAAAGATTTTTTTTGTGTGTGAGGAAGATCAGCCCTGAGCTAACATCCATGCTAATCCTCCTCTTTTCGCTGAGGAAGACAGGCTCTGAGCTAACATCTATTGCCAATCCTCCTCGGTTTTTTTCCCCAAAGACCTAGTAGATAGTTGTATGTCATAGCTGCACATCCTTCTAGTTGCTGTATGTGGGACGCAGCCTCAGCATGGCCGGAGAAACAGTGCGTAGGCGCACACCCGGATCCGAACCCCGGCCGCCAGTGGCAGAGCGTGTGTACTTAACCGCTAAGCCATGGGGCCAGCCCGGTATTTGAAAGATTTATTCTACTTTTTTTTGTAGAAAATTCACCTGCCAGCCAAGTGTACTAATTTTATTAATAAAGTTAATCAGAAAGTTTCTCCTCCATTATTCAAAATTTCCTAAATAACAACCAAGTCTCTGAACTCCATAGCGCCTAACACAGTGAGCATAACTGGTGTCCAATAAGTATGTGGAGTCCTTCTGGACAGCAACCCAGGGTCTGCAAGTAATTAAACTATGATCAGAGGAAATCAGGTTTGATCAGATTTTTAAAAAACTCAGAGGATTATCTAAGTAAAATAAAAGGCAGCTTTAACGTTTCAAAGCTCCCAAAATGTACATGCCCTGTGATCCAGCACTTACATTTCTGAACACTTAGCCTAAGGAAATTATTTAGGATGTGTACAAAGATGCTTGTACTTGAGTACTCACTATACCTTAGGTGTGTTAGAAAATCACCAGAACACTTATATTTTATAGTCAAGGTGCTAGATACTGTGGTAATAAAATTAGAAGCATTATCTTGCTAATTCTAATAACAAGCCTATGTGGCATTAACTCTAATTATTCCTGAAGAATAGAAGCTTAAAGAGAGTAAATAACTCAGTCAAGAACATCCAGTAGTAAAGGGCAGAGCCAGGAATCAAACCAAGGACTAACTTAAAACTTTGGATCTTATCCACTATATTTTACTAGAAGAATCACTGTTGTCCAATTTTTAAATAAATCATATACATTTACACCTGAATACTATTCGTATCCCAAATAATACATTATCAAGATCTATATTTTGATGTGGAAGGATATCTACAATACAGTGTTAGTTTAATCTATAGTGCATAGATTACAAAACTATATGTTATATGATCCCATTTATCTAAAGGAAGCAGTATCTATCTATTTTTTTCTTTCTATCTATATGTCTATCTATCTATCTACCTATCCATCTATCTTTTCTATCTGCTCTTCTAGAAAGAATCCACACCCAGAGGTGTTAACAATGACTATAGCTAAATGTGTGAACTTATATGGACATTTCTTATCTTCTCAACTTTCCTTGCCAATATTTTCTAATGAACACATTTTATAGTAGGACAAAATATAATAAAAGAAAACTTCAAATTTAATATACAATAAAAACTTTTGATAATAAGACTTGAATATTTTTCACCCTCACTCTACCCCCTGTATCCAGCAGAGTGCCAGCTCAAGAAATACTGAATAGTCACCATCCTCACACCGCATGTGGTCTGGAAGGTGAGCAGCTCGGGCCAGAGAAGAGAAGTCCGTGATAAAGGGGACTGAGCAGAGCTGTATGACAATGAATGGAGCCAATGGGACACACAAGAACTTGCTCACTAATATTAGTGACTTCAGATGGATTTCTTTTCTTAAAATGTTTGTTTTGACAAAATTCCAGATTTCCAGAAATGTTGCAAGGAAAGTAAAAATAATTTCCAGATACCTTCCACCCAGATTCCATATTTGTTAACATTTTACTATATTTTCTTCCCACTGTATTTCAAGGAGATTCATAAACAGAGAAAGAGTGAATCTGTGTTGAGGTATTTTGTTTTCCAAATTCTCCTAAAAATGTTTCCCTGTATTAGAACCCTTCTGGAAGGAGCCTTCCTCTTTCAGAGGCTGTAAACTCCCTTCCCCTCCTTGCCCCATCCGCACACTTTGCCAAGAGCACTGAACAGGAAGAAGTGTTTGCTCGGGGATGCTGGCAAGACAGAGAGACGGAGTGAAGAAGAAAGGACATTGCCTGGGCAGAAGGAGCATACTCTCAGGAGAAGGGCCTCTGCCCACTACACCAAGCACAAGGCCACTGGGAATATCACCACCTGAAACGCAGCCCAGCCTTCTAGGGAGAGAGCAGGTGAGTCTGTCTGTCTGTCCTCTCTGCACAGATTGTTGGCTCTTCCCCAATGCCAAGACCTTCAGGGACACCTGTCCTTTCTGTCAGACTCCTGACATAGTCTGTTGAAGACTGAGGCTTCTGACAGCTGAATTCAGTATAGCCAAGACTACAAATCAAGGTCCTAGGGAGCAAGGGTCATTTCAAGGCTAAGGGCTCTCAAAGTCCAAGAGGATTAATTTCATTAGACAGAGTTTAGGAGGCCACAAATGGGGACAGGGCTGAAGCCCAGAGCTAAAGGATGGGTGAAGGAGAGGCACCATGCCAAGTTCAAAGGCTCCCAACCAGCACAAGATCCTATCCATCTTCTGGGCATGTGCTGGGTCTCCTCCGTATACCTGTCAATGACATACTTACCTTCCAAGCCCCCATGGGTGCTCTGAAAAAGAAGATGGCATGTCCCCTGGTGGGAGGAAAACTTATCCCAGATTCTGATGGTGGTACTGTGTTATAATCCCCGCAGGCTTCCTCATCTCCTTCATCATGAACTGGCACATGATAATCTCTGGGCTTATCGTAGTGGTGATTAAAATTGTTGGAATGACCTTATTTCTGCATTATTGTGAGTATTTGAGCAACCTCTTCCTCCAAATCCGTATGGTCTTATTCTTTGGCTCCTCTCCCAGAATGCAAGGATGAATGTAGAGGTGAAGTGCCCAAGTCCTTCCACCTGGGCTGTTGACCCAGCCTGAGGGAACTGATAATGCCCTTCTCAATCCCCGCACACGATGGGCCAGATGCCTCAGTCTACCTTGGAGATGTAGAACTGACAGGTGTCTGATGGTTAGAACCCACATGAAGCTCTTGCCCTAGACTATTAGTTGGGTGATCTAAGCTGAAGTACTCGACAGTGCTTATTATTGTTGCTAAAATTTGAAAATACAGCTCCAGTTCATCCCAGCGATAGGCTGTGGTAAGGGCTGCACTAGAAGATAATGGGATTTTACTGACAAAGGAATTTCCCTCTATGTACACAGAAACCTATTCGTCCAAATGCTTAGAAAAAGAGGGCTCATATATCAAAGGATTTTACTGCAATTGCAGCAAGTAGAATCTTCTCCAGCCCCAGAAGACAGTAGGGAAAATAAATGAGGAAGGAAATGTGATCAGGAGGCAGCAGTTGGGTAAGAGGTGTCTTCCTTATGACCCAATATGAAGGTGCCATTCCTATCACATAAGAGAGGAGGAAGAAAATATGACTATGAATAAGTGAATGTATTCACAAAACCATATACGTGCCCGCTGTGTCTTTGTTGACCCAAGTCAGAGAGTTCAGTATTTCACAGTAATAGTCACAGTACCCTAGCAACCCCGGCAGTGAGGTTTGTTTATTGTATTCATCCTGCAGCCACCTTGGGGGCTGAGCCAACAGCTGGTTTTCTTTGCAGTCCCACAGATTTTTGGCAAAAGTAATGTCAGCTTCATTCCCACAGAGAGCTACGGAACAGGTAACGCGCATGACAACAATCTCTTCCCTCTCCTCTCAGTACCACTGTTTTATGTGCTGAATTCTTAAAGACCTTTCTCAAGGCCTCCTTTCCCAAGAAATTCTTTTGCATGAAGGATTCATAAAGATCTTCTAATTGTTATAAGATGAATAGGTTCTGGGGTTGTAATGTACAGCATGATGACTATAGCTAACAATACTGTATTGTATATTTGAAAGTTGCAAAGAGAATAGATCTTAAATGTTCTCACTGCAAAAAAGAAATTGTAATTATGTGAGGTGATGGAAGTGTTAACTAACCTGTAGTAATAATTTTGCAATATATATGTGTATCAAATCATCACATTGTACACCTTAAACTTACACAATGTTATATGTCAATTTTATCTCAAAAAGCTGAAAAAATAAAATAAATGCAGAACACCCAGAAAAAAAAGATCTTCTAATTAATTACCTTCCTTTTATAAATGGGAAACCAACACTAGACTGAGTGAAATTTCTGGTCCTCAGTTTTTCTCCTAGGGATGAGGATGGTTTGTATATAATCACTGTAATATGAAAGCACTTTATAACATCTGATGTCTTGTACACCTAAAGAAATTGTTATAAAGAAAGCCATGTCCCACAAAAAAAACAAAGATTATATTCAGTACCTTCTTGTGTTGCAAGTACTGTGCTAGATCAACCATAAAAGAAGAAAAAAAGAGGAGATATGAGTCAACTATTACCCATGAAGCACAAGGCCCAGTGCCAGAAAACATGGGGGATGAAGAGAGGAGTGAGGCTTGGCTCTCCCTATTAAACCCACCTCTTCTTGAAGTTGTTCCCAGGACTTCCTCCTCACTTTCTCTTAAGATGCTTATTACTATATACATCTTTAGGGAAAAGATAATTTCTTGTTCATCTTTATATCAACTAAGGAACCCATTACAGTGAGCTATATGGAGGAAATGCCCATGAAATATTTGTGGAGTTCTGTTCAGTTATAATCCCAAAAGAGTTTCTGATGAAAAACAGATTATTATATATTACAAACAGTCTTTGAACTGGAGACTGAAATAAAGGGTGAATGCTAACTTGAATATTTTATTAATGTAATTGTAAGCAGCTAATTTGGTGTCTGCATAAACTAAAGTAAAACATAAAGGACAAATGACTGAGCCTCTGAGGACAGGTCTGGCCAGCCTCTGACACCACTGCAGCTGTCTGCTCAGTCAGTTCCAAGGAAAAGTGAGACCTCTTGGAGGCCTATCAATTCCCCTATTTATATTTAAAGAAACAAATGTACTCTTCTTTGCCCATAGGAAATCTCTGGAATGTTCACCTGCCTCAAAGTCCGCCAATATCCCCTGGTCCTGAAACTTGTTCTAGTTAGCCACAAGCCTTAGAGCTAATGAATGTTGATGAGAGAAGAGTCCACAAGTTGCCTGCCAGGACTGTGTTTTCATATAGGGTTTGGACACCAGAAATGGGGAGCACAGCGAAGATGCTGTGTGGAGCCTGGAGGAAAGTGCTCCAGACGGCTCTTTGGGGATAACACTGTCAAAGGTTCATCCACTCCTCTTCCTTTCTCGTTCTTTTTCTTGGCATTTCACATCTACTGCCACCCTCTCCCCCCCAAAAAAAGATGTGAAATAGGCTTTGGAGCATGACAAATAATGGTAGTAGTTAAATGGAAGGTTCAAAGAAAGAAAATATCTGAAAAATTCTAGCACAGAGTGGCAAAGAGCCCCTGTCATCTGCACTGTCCGGGGGCAAATGGTCCCAGGTACCAAACAGCTGTTCTGATGTTTGTGTGTTATGTTCATCATACAACTACCTTCAGGTTTTCTTTTCATTTCAGTCCCACAAACTTTTGGCAGCAGTAATGCCAGCTTCATTCCCACAGAGAGCTACGGAACAGGTAAAGTGCATGGTTATAGCCACCTCTCCACCCACAGGCAGCTTATGTACTGAATTCTTAAAGATTTTTCCCATTGCTTCCTTTCTTATGGAAATTTTTTGCTCAAAGGGGCCATAAAGACCTTCTGATTCATTCCCTTCATGTTACAGATAGGAAAACTGAGACTAGACTGGGTGAAATTTCTTCCTGGATTGAGGATGATTTGTATTGATACAACTGGTATAAAGAAAGCCATGTCCCACTATCTTATCACTCAATTTCAGGGTTCACACCTGAAATCACTAATCTCATACTCTTTTTTTCTTGGATCTCTTTAGTCTGCCCCAGAGGGTGGGATTTTCATCAAGGAAGATGTTTCTTCTTGTCCACCTCTGAGTCGTCTTGGAACAAAAGCAGGGACTTTTGCGAAGGAAAAGGATCAACTCTGGCCATTGTCAACACGCCAGAGAAACTGGTGAGAGCATTGGAATGGTACAGTAAAGCAGCCCACTCTACACCAGCCTCAGTGGGTGTAGATGGTGGGGGCAATTTGATTGGTGGAACAGGGGTGGGATGGGGGTGGTGAATGGAGAGGTGGCTGGCTGAGAGGTCAAGCTCCTTATTCTAAACCTGGAGGTGGGAGACTCTTCCCAGTAGCAGTGGAGTGTGTTGTTTGGGTCCATTTGAACTAGAAAAATCCACCCTCTGTGGTCTCTCCCATGAGGCATAGAAGTAGACTGGTATCCTGGGGATGGGCCAGGACATTTAAAGTACAAGGAATGACCAAATGAGCTGATGTGTATAAAAGTTGTTTAAAAACTATTGAAAACTTTATACATGTGAGCTGTTAATATATCATCCCAGTCTGCCTAGTAAATAAGGAAGATGCAAATTAACAAAATTAGTAATATGAAAAACAAAGAATCAGGTCATAGAATTGGGATCACAGTGTACAATTATTATAATAAAAATATGTAACACTATGCAAAAAGCTTTATTTTATTATCTACTTTTATCCTCATAACAATTCTGAGGAGACATTATTATCCATATTTTATATATGAGAAAACTAGGGCACAGAAAAATAATTTGACCAAGGTCATACACCTACTAAATGACATAACATGGAGTTGAGTTGAGGTTTCTCTAACTCCAAAGCCTACCTCTAATCAACTTTAGATATAATTTATTTTAGTTTATAGTTGCCTCTCCTTCAAATCCTAAGCATATGCTGAGTGCTAGGCATTGTGTTATATCAGTACTGTTGCTTCTCTCCCCTCTATCCCTTCACCCTTCCTGTAGAAGGTCCTAGAAGAATTTTTAAGAAATTCTCTGAATTTTTTCTCTGAATCCAGGTAATAGATGTCCAACAAAGGGCAGGAACTGGGATGCTACAGATCCTCTAGGGCTAAATACCCAAAAGGAAAGATAAATGCCTTCAGGAGCAAGATGAGGAGTTGGGGGGAGAAAAGAGAACAGAAGAGGGGAAGAGGGGAATGGGACAGAAAGTTGATAGCCTCTTTTCCTCCACTCAACACTTAAGTTTTGGTGCATCTCAAGCACCATCCACGGCATTCTCCACCACTTACACTTCATGCTAACCCCATAAAAACTCATCACACTAATGGTTTGCTGATGACTGTCAAGTCTGTATCTCCAGTTCAGCCTTCTCCTCTAGACCAGACAGTATATCAAATTCCACTTTGATGTTTCAAAAGCACCACAAACTCACCATGTTCAAAACTGAGTCAATTATATTTTACCTCAACTGCTCCTCCCCTTGTATTCCAAGTACTAGTGAGTAGTCATGTCAACCAAGATTGAACACTGAGGGTCTTCTAGGACTTCACCTTTTCTCTTCTCTCCTAAATTAGTTACTAACCAAGTCCTTTCCTCTCTATCCCCACAGCAAATAGTTCAGCTCTCACCTGGATTTCTTCAGAATTCTTCTAAATCCTCTCCTTGCCTCTAGTTTTGCCCCTTCTTACCTATTCTCCACAGAACTGACATAATACCATCTCTAAGGCTCTAAACTGTCTGTGCCATTTTCCAAGTTATAGTGGGTTAAATTCCCATTTCCCTGAATGAAATATAAGGTTTCGTATAGTCCAGCCTCTGCCTTCTCTCCAGTCTTGTCTCTCAACTCACCTCCCTTCTACCTCTGCACCAACGAAATTTAACATCTTGTAGTTCCTCAAATGCTCCAGGCTGCTCTGCATTCTGCCTGTCATCTGCTGCTCCCTCTTCCAGGAGGTCCAATCCTGACCCAGACCCTCCCCTAGCATTTGTCTGACAAACAGCTATCTCCCAAAATTCATCTCAGGCATCATCTCATCTATGGTCTTTCTAGAAACCCCAAATCCATATAGAATTGATCACTTCCTTCTTTCTGCCTGTGCCAGATCTAGTACGTATTTCCTAGCACTACACCCGGGACACGTCACGATGCTGGTTAACTCATCTATCTTCTCTTATTAGACCTATGAATCTTCAACATGTTGGGATCACCGATGTTTTTGAAATGGTGATGAAATCTGTGCACTTCATCCCAGAAACATGCATAAGCACAATATTTTGAATAAAATTCCAATGATGTCATAAATTCCCTTGGAAGCCATCCATAGCTTCTAACACAGAAGTTAAGGATCAAGAGCCCTTGTTTTAGACCATGGGTCCGCAAATTTTTTCTGAAGGGGTCAGACACTATACACCTTATGCTTTTCAGGTCATAAGGTCTCTATGATGACTACTTAACACTGCTGTTGCAGCTCAAAACCAGCCATAGACAAGATGCAAAAAATAGGCATGAGTGTCTTTCAACAAAAACTTGTTTACAAAAATGGGCTACAGTATGGATTTGGCCCACGGGGCTGTAGTTTGCCTACCCCTGTTTTAGATCATAATTTCTTTGAGGAGAAACTAATTTTTTGCATATCCCCAGCCTCATACAATGCCTGGCACACAATGGACATGCAAAAAATGTTTGTTAAAAGAGTAAATTTGGTAGTTAGTTTTTAAAAATAATGAACTGAGATATTTCAGGGGAGGAGAACATTGAGAAAAGAGGAATAAAGGCATTAGGCATGAGGATGGAGAGAACATCCAAGTGGATTTGGACATCTGCTAACCCTGGGAGGCACGTGAAGAGTAAAAGAAAGAGTCGAGGGACTCCCAGACATCTGGCTGGAGTGATTTGTGATTCATTAATTTAATACAGAAACTAAGATGCCTTGGATTAATGTTAATTTAGCAAATACTCAATAAACACTGATTATTTCTCATGAAATTACCTACTTTAGCAACACACTTTTATATTTCCCTGTTTTCCCTTGCTAAATACTCAAAGAATTCACTTGATCCAGCCTCATTTGGAATGTAAAATTTCTGGCAATGAAACAATTCTATGCAGAGAGGCAGGCCAAATGTAAAAGAAGTATTTGAAATTACGCTTTTTTAGATGGCACAATACCCTTCCCCTTCATTTTCAATGTGTGGTTCCTGGATAGCAGCATCAGCATCATCTAGAAATTTCTTCAGAGTGTACATTCTTGGGCCACTACACCAGAACTACTGAGCCAGAAGCCCAGCAATCTGTGTTTTAACAAAACCTCCAGGTGATCGTGATGCTCTGTATAGATTGAGAACTACTACTCTAGGGTTTTTGGTGAATGCCAGTGTTAGCCAGCCCAAGTCCCCTTCCAGCCTTCTCTGTTCCCAGAATCAGATATCAGCATGGGCCTATTGGCACAAGGGAGGCAGCAGCAAAGAAATTTCTGTTGAACTGTTTATTTTTGTAATTTCCAGAATTTTCTCCAGAAGATAACTGGTGCTGAGAAGTATTTTATTGGCTTACTATACCAGCACGCAGAGAAAAGGTGGCATTGGATCAACAACTCTGTGTTCAACGGCAAGTACGTGAATATGCCACATTTTTCTAAGGATCTTGATTTCCCTTAAGACATCAGACCTGAGATTCAGTGGGTTTGTCCGGGAATAGCACAAAGGCTGAGACTCGGCTCTTGTTCTAGTCCTCTCCTTTCTTCCAACCCGTCTGTTCCCAGAGACACATTTTTTGTAACCTTTTGTTATGGAAAATATCAAACATTTCTAAGTAGAGAGAAGAGTATTCATACAATGAATTATTTTTTTTTCAAATCAGAATCCAAACAAATCCACATACATACCATTTGTTTAGTATATCTCATAAGTCTCTTTTAACCCATAGATTACATTTTATTACTAAGTTCTTACAAGTTCCCCAGATGTGGCTTCTTTACGCAAAGAAAGGTTGTGATATGCAACTCTCCATGCCTTAGAGGTATGAACTTTAACTCCCAAGAGCTCTCTCCTGTGTGTCAGTCCATGGGCATAAGCATTGGTGGAGAACATGATATTCCCAGTGTACATATGGAGGTGTTGAGTCAGACAGGAAGCAAGTCAGTTCCCCAACCTGTAACTGGGCTTCCCACAGAAAGGAGGAAATTATTACTCATTCAGTGTCTACTAAATGCCAGGCATTTGTTAAGTACTTTATACATGTAATTTCCTACAGTATTCACAACCATGCTATAGGAAAAGGTTTTATTAATCTCCATTTAAATGACAGTTGAATTGAGGATGAGAGGCTTAGAAATGTGTTGAATATCACCAGCCACGATTTGATCCCACAGCCACTTGACTCTGAAACTCATGACCTTTCCATGAAACCAGACTCTTTCCAATCAGACTGAAAGGGACCGAATGACAGAAAAAGAGGGGAGAGAAGGCCAACGAAGTTTTTCCTAAAGCGAGCTGGGACCTAGGAAAAGAACAGAAATCTTTTTCCACCTCCTCTCAGTCGTCCTGCTGTGAACATAGTACAGACGGTACTGAAACGTTATTTCTGGGAGAAAAAGGGACAGATGACCCAGGAAATGTTTCTGACCAAACACAGAGTGAGTTAATTCAAGACTGTAAGTCTATAAAAGCTCACAGGAAAGTTGACAGGGAAGAGTCAGTGTAGAGCTGGATTTGAGGGTAGAAGAGGGAGGACTGGAATCAGTAAAAGGCAGGGCTGAAACAATGCACCTTAACCACGCTTTCTTTTCCCACTTAGTGTTACCAATCAGTATCAGGATTTCAACTGTGTGACCATAGGCCTGACAAAGACATATGATGCTGCGTCATGTGACATCAACTACCACTGGATCTGCGAGAAGAATGCCAAATGAATGCAGCCCTCTGTGGCCTCTGATGAAAACAACTAATATACGTATGGAGACAGCAAAGGAGAATATTTATAACTGGAATGGGTCCAGGAAACACAGAATATCAAATTACTGTGTCAGTCTTCCACAGGTTACTGGCAGAGCTCCCTAATGAATCCTCAGGGCTAATGCACTGGCCTCTCCACAAATATACTTGCATACACACAGCGGAGCAAATTCCCCATTCTCAGCCAGCAATTCCCCAAGACCCCATTTCCTGCGAGAGTCACATATATGACTCTTTTTGGATCCACACAGGTCTTCTAGTCAGTGATCCCTTTATCCATCTGCCTACTAGGAGAGGTCCTTGCCTGTTTAGGGAAATGAGTCTGTGTTCTGCTTTGGGGGACTAGACCCCCGCCATCTCCAAGAGACAGGGTTAGTTTTATGGAGACAACTCAGCTGGTGTCATGATGGGCCTGTTTCTATAGAATTGAGCATTTCTGACTGATCAACAGGGTTTAGCTTTTTGCCAGGGTCTGTTTTAACCTCATACTACTATACTACCAGGGAGAAACTGCAGACTGAGCAGGTGTGAACACTAGTTAGAGAGTAGCAAGGGTGGAAGATGACAAAAAGAGACCTCTGTTCACACCCCCGCCCCTGCCCCAGCCGGGACACAGAGGCCCTCCTCAGTCTGAAGTGAGGCCAGGCCTGGGGAGGCTCCATGAGCCAACACGGGAGCAGAGAGAGCATTGTTTATGGGAATGGAGAGGGGTCTGAACAGGGGAGGAATCTGCTAGGAAATCCCTTTTAAGACAACCAGACAACCAAGACGACCAAGTACACTGAATCTCTGTTCTTCCACAAAGCCTTGAAGAGACTCTCAAGCATAAATTTTCTTGTTCTTGGCCTGAATCAACATTTTAGCAGATTTTCATTACTCGACCATGTTTTTTGAGTATATTGTAAGATTTACAATAGTCTTCGTAACATATTCCTGCCTGCAGTTCTAGAGAGACCCTGTAACAGGTACAGCCTAATGACCCGAAGGTGCCACAGCCCTGCCCTGGTTGGCATCACACTAACCCAGGACTTGTTCAGCTGACAAAGGAGTAGAAAAAGAGGAGGGCTGCTCAAGGAAACACTCACTATAAGCAAGGAGTGGGTGTGTTGTAGAAAGAGAACACCAGGAACAAATGGAAATCATATGTGGGAGGAAACAGTTCATTTGGCCATACTGGAAGAAAGGCAAGAAAGAGGTAGAAAGTCTTAAGGCATCCTGGTTATTCTCTGCATTTCCAAGAAAATGTCAACTCCATACTCTCCTCAGTACATGGAAAAGAGTAAAGAGATGCTTGTGTGTTTTGAGTAACAAGAATTAAACCATAACGGGAGACTGTATAAAACTAATGGAAGTTGTAGTCACCTAAGTAAACTGCTCGCCATTTATGCCTGATAACAATGTACCACAATGATTGTGTGTATCATTTGATGTATGTCAAAGTAAATCGTTGCTTTATTTTTTATTACAACACTAAGCTCTGTTCCTATATTCTCAGGCTTCATAATTTTTGGTTAATTAGCATGGCCACTTACAATTTTAAAAAATGTGATAATACAGTAAGTGTTAGAACTTGCTTGAAGGAGGTCACTGGAAATAATTTGTATTTGGGTAGATTGGATGTTGGATTTATATCAGTACTCTGTGGAGACCCAAGTTCTCTGGCAATTTTAGCAGAAGAGCTGCAGTTGAGGAGGGGAAGAGGCTGAGGCTGTGGTAGAGAAAAGAATAAACAGAATTCTGAGGACAAATGCCAGAATTCAGACAACAGAAAGGAAACCATAACTCTTCTGTTTTGAGAAGGAAGAACTGTGGTTGCCATACTTCCTATTTTATGACAGAATAAATTGCAGACTTTTACAGTCAGGAAATGTAGGCATCTAGTAATTTCCCTAGTAGACATTACAAATTTATATCAAGATGAAGAGATACTTCTGTGCAAGTTCTAAAAAAGGCCCAGTGGGCTGGGTGGAGGTGTGGGTGGGTAGGTGTGCACTCTGGTTTAAGTTCATTACTGAGGCAGCAGGGGTTGCTGGATCCTTAGGAGGGTATGGAAATATGGACTTATTGGGCAGCAATGGTATGATTTTTTTAAAAAACAATGGAAATTTAGTAAACCATTGGATTAGAGTTTTGACTTTGCTTCCAATATGCTACATGAATCTGTACAGATTTCTTACCCTTCTTGTACCTTAATCTCTGTATGTATAAAATGGAGCAGCAATACCCTCCTCACAAAATTCTTGTGTATGTTAAGTAAGATCCCCATTATGTATTTCAATAGCAATAAACAATAGGGGAAGCGTTAGGATCCAATTTTTTCCAGAGACTCACTAACACTTGTTATTATCTAACTTTTTGATTCTAGCTATCCTACTGGGTATAAAGTGGTATTTCACGGTGGTTTTGATTTGCATTTCCCTGATAACTAATGTCAGGCATATCTTCCCTGGAGAAATGTCTATCAGATTCTTTATCCCTTTTTTTTTTTTGGTGAGGAAGATTTTCCCTGAGCTAACATCTGTGCCAATCTTCCTTTACTTTGTATGTGGGATGCCTCCATAGCATGGCTGATAGGTGTGTATGTTCACGCCCAGGATCTGGCCCCGTGAACCCGGGCCACTGGAGTGGAGTGTGCAGAACTTTAACCACTCAGCCACAGGGCCAGCCCCTCTTTATCCATTTTTAAATTGGGTTGTTTGTCTTTTTGGCATTGGGTTCTTTATATGTTCTGGATTCAAGTCTCTTATCAGCTGTATGATTTGCAAATATTTTCTCCCATTCTGTGGGATCCTTTACATTCTTTTTTTTTTTTTGGTGAGGAAGATTAGCCCTGAGCTAGCATCCTTTGCCAATCCTCCTCTTTTTGCTGAGGAAGCTTGGCCCTGGGCTAACATCTGTGCCCATCCTCCTCTACTTTATGTGTGGGATGCCCGCCACAGCATGGCTTGATAAGCAGTGCATAGGTCCACGCCCGGGATCCGAACCTGTGAACCCCAGGCCGCTGAAACAGAGCGCATGAACTGAACCACTGCACCACTGGGTTGGCCCCCCTTTACACTCTCAAGAGTGTCTTTTGACACACAAAAGATTTTAATTTTGATGAAGTCCAATTTATCTGCTTTTCCTTTTGTTGCCTGTGCTTTTAGTGTCATATCCATTAAATCATTGCCAAATCCAATGTTATGAAGCTTTTCCCCCATATTTTTTTCTAAGAGTTTTACCAGTTTAGCTCTTATGTCCAAGTCTTTGATTCATTTTGAGTTAATTTTTGCGTATGATGTAAGAATCCAAATTCATTCTTTTGCATGTGCATATCCAGTTTCTCCAGGTGCTGAGTTTTTTAAACACTTAGGGTTGAAAACAATGTTCTATCCAATTTTTTCCCTCCTTTAATTATGAGTATGTATCTAGACTGTGAAAGGAATAGACAATAACAATAAAAACATTACAACATATAATATTACCTTTATTCAGACATGTATAATCTTATACTTCTGGATTGAAATTAGGCATTGTGGCAGATTACATTATTCACAATAATATAATCACAAATTCACAGTCCCTCCTGAAGGAGGAGAATCCTTTCCTATCCTGCTGACAGCAGCTTGGCCCTGTCGCTTGCTTTGGCCCATGAAATCTGACCATAATTTCCCACACTCTTTCCCCACTACGTCAAGACCAGACTCGTCATGTTAGAGGCTGCCCCATTAGCCTGGACTATAGCGAAGACAACAAGGAACAGAGGGGCAACTGACCCATAGTAGACAAACAATGGGAACAAATATAAATGTTTGTTTTTGGGAGCTACAAAGATTTTTGAGGTTGTTTGTTACCATAATATAACATAGACTCACCTGACTGATATGAGAACGAATAATGAGTAGTTCAGCTAAAGAAACACAATTAGCATTGCACGGTTTGGCACTGTAGGCTATTTAGCATACTGGTTAAAAGGATGAACACTGGAGCCAGATTGCCTAGGTTTGGATCTTGGGCCCCTACATATTAACAGTGTGACCTTGGGCAAGTCACTTCCTGTCTCTGTGCCACAGTTCCTTGGGTAATAACAGTAGTTAACGCTATAGAGTTGCATTATGGTTTAAATGAGTGCTTCTTTTCTTAGTAGTAAGAAGTAAGGGCCAGACTTAAGCAGCATTTCTTAGCTTGGGTTCCCCAGAAAGCCAGGGACTTATGAACTATTACTGCATTGGGGAATCCAGTCCACGAGAGCAGGCATGATTGACAAGGATACGAGACAGAGAAGGCTGTAAAACCAATAAAAAGATGCATTATCCAGCTCACTGCCACTAAGTGCAACTAATTGCTTGATCTTTGGGACTACTCACCTTAGAAGATGTGTAAACTCTGTCTCATGACTGTCCCTCAGAAGGGAAAAGGGAAAAAATTATCTGCTGGCTTCTACTTTCATTGGTCAAATTTCATCCCATAGGGAGAAACTCTCCAGAACTAGCTTGTCCAAACACGGACTTGGATGCCAAGTGGATCCCTCTTTAGTAAAATCCCGACTTGCATAATACGATATACCGGTTGTTAATGTCATTATAATTGTTTGCATTATACATATAAACCAAGTATTTGTAGGATCAATTTTGGGAAGTAGAGAAAACTATTCAGCATAGCAGGAAGCTATTGCCTTGAGAGTTCGGGCTAAGAGAGTTGGCAGTGGGTCTCTCCAGTGTTTAGCCACAGTGGTACACTGCTTTGGAGTATGGAGTTCTGCATGGATAGCTCTCTTTGGCTGTTAGTACCTAGTACACAGAAAAGATGAGTACTGCGTGACAGAACAAGATTCCTTAGAATGGGGCAGCGTCTTCTCTTCTGAGTGGTATTTCTTCCCTCTCAGACATACTAACCTCGGCCTCAAGTTAAGGAAAGTGTATAGTCACATCTACACAGGGCTCCATCTCCTAATCTTCTCTTAAGCTCCAAGTTTCTGTTAAGGTCTAGGGATATCTCCCAGAAAACTTTGATTTAACAGGAGGCTCCACTTACCAAATATCTTCCAGTTACAGAAATATATGTATGAAAATAAGCAAGTATTCCTGTATAAGAGAAAACTTAAATACATAAAAACATAGATAAATAAAAGGGTGAGTGGTTGAATCACTACGCCTCTTAAGACACATAAAAGAAATGCAGTTATTTTATTTTTATAGGCAATACATACACATGGTTACAAAAATAATAAAAAGAACATTAAAAGGCAGACAGTGAAAAGTCTTGCTCCCTTCCCCATTCTACCTGCCCTTTCACGCAACCACAATCCTGCAGGTAACCACCTATTATTTCTTATGATGCCGTCCACAGCAAATACAAGCAAATATGAATATATACTCATTTCTACTCCTTTCTTACACAAAAGGCTGAATACTAAATTCAACGTGCTTTGTTTTTTTCACTTAATATAGCTTGGAGAGAATTTCTAATCTTTGAAGAAAGAGCTTCCTTAATCTTTTTACAGCTGCATAATGTTTCATTGTACAGAGGAAACATTATTTAACTAGTCACCTATTGATATCCCATTCAGTTATTAATACTTTAT